GATGCTCTCCTCCATGCAACATACTGAAGGCAAATGTGGATTCAAACCAACATTGCATAGGATATTTGTTGGTCACTTATAGGGTAAAACTTCTTGAGCTAGGTTGATGATGTTGGCTGCTAGATTGCCAATTGTACTGGTGGCTTTCTTTGTGCCCTCCCACAAAAACAGTGCCCAGGGTCGTTTCCCAATTGCCCCTGTCAGTGACGCTACTGCCTTTTTCATTAGTTAGCTAAATATTCTTTACAAAAAGCAAGAAACTAAAGTATTTTTACACCTTAATTAATAGCATTTAAATTGTACAGGTAACAGTGGGTGCATTTACACAAGATGCTACTGCACAGTCATTATTGCACATTTATTTAGTACTTGTATTAGCAAATAATAAATGAGCAATAACTGGAGATACTGCACAGTAGAGCCAGTGAGCATCTTTTAGGTGATGCTACTGCACAGTAGCCTAATCATACTGCACAGTAGCATATTAGCACTGTCCATGCTGTGACATGGTACTACGTAATATTTTTCAGCTACTGCGCAGTCAGAATCTCATGTAGATGCTCCCACTGGGTAGCAAAGAATGGCTAAACTGCTTTCAGTCTCCTGAAGATGAAGTAGAACCACTTAAGTCTTGTGTGTAAAAGCAGGATACATAAAATATTACCTGATGTCTATTCTTTAAAAGATGGATTTGAGACTGGACTGATGCTCCTTCCCTTTAAGCTCCATTAAGTAGTCTCCATTCATTATAATCATATTAGTATTCAATGTGAGTACTTTAAATATCATGGGCTTCACTTTTCATATGTTCTCAGTTTCAATTGAAGGAAGGTGCCTTGCAGTTTTTGAAAGGTAGGGAACAGTTTTTGCAAAAGGGATACTGGGTCTTTCTTCCAACCTCTCTCTTTTACCAGTCCAAATATGCAGTGGTTATTCTTTTGGGGTCTGTTCTCAAAATCTTCTTGTTCCTCTTCCATTTTTCTCCTGTAGTGACTGAAACTGCTCCAGCATTTAATCTTGCACTTCTTATTGCTGTAGTGTCAGTTTTTCTTTTTTTTTTTTTCATTCCATTTCCCAGATAACCTCGTATAAGTGTTCATCTCAGCAACATCCTTTCAGAGGGTTTTAATATCCCCAGAGATCAGGCCTAACTTTGGGGACATCATTTCTGTGAGAACTACAATTTCCTGTGAGAGTTCCTGAGGCAGAGGCACCATTGTTTCTTTTGCCATCGGTTTAGGTAAAACCTCTTTGATGTGCTTGTTACCTTCCATTTTATCAGTAGGGTCCATTTTTTGGTTCAGATTTTCTTTATGCTGTCAGTTATATTCTCAGAAACTGCTTAATGAAACGGGCCAGTATACTAATTTATTTTCCTTGGTGTGAAGGACACAAGATTGCTATCTGTACTCTTTTACTGAACTAATTATCCTTATTTTTCTCTCTCCCCTGTCCCACATAAACTTTAAAACAGATGTCAGATTTTATGCAGCTACCTGTGACATTTGCATAAATTATTTACCTGGCTCATTTGGCTATCTACAACTAATTTCCATACAGCTATAAACTCTGTCTATATAAAAAAATCATTCTGCAGATTTAGTGTGTGCAACCTTAATGAATAGAGTGCTTGGTTTATATGCAGACCAACAGCAGACCAAGCTTCCCACACACCTTGCCAGCATGACTCGGCCCCAGTTTGCAGAATTTGCTCTAACAAGTTCTTTAGCCAGTGCTAATAGCCAATTACTGCAAAGCATACTGGTGAGTTTGTGCTGCGGGAGTTGCAGATCCACCAAACTCCTCTCTCACAGGGGCACCAGCCATCCATTAGATGGGAATAATTTCTAATCCCCACTGACTAAGGCTGGATTCATACAGGCAATAGGCTCTGAGGCTCCTTAACAAGGTCTTGAGGTATTTAGTCCCCTCAGACAATTGTTTCACCTTCAAGATTAAAGTTTATTTTGTGGAAAGACGCATTTGTTCAATCAAGTTTGGACCTTCCTTTGTAAGTAGTTTCTCCTGCATTGTGCATGCATGCAAGCAAGAAAACTGCTGTCAAGGAGAAATCCCAACTCTCTCTGAGTCAATGAAGTTAAAACAACCTCTGATTTCAATGAGACCAGGATTTTGCCTTCAGTTTTCTTCACAGAAACTCTGTAATGTGTGGCCTTCCTGATTCTTAGAGGGAAAACTCCCTTTAATGAAAATATTTCCCTTAAGAAGAAGGCAATGAAACAAATGACACAATATCCAAATTTCCCTCTAACTATAACACTGAAATGCAAAATCATCTTGACAACTATGCCAGAGTCCTAATGCTAATTTTACATATAGAGTTTGCCAACTTTATTTGAATCTATTCTGGGAGATTTCATCACATGACGTAATGACCGATCTACTGTACTGAGTACACTTCACATCAGGAAGGAAAATGCACATTACTAGTACTTTTAAAAAACCCACTGGAGTACTGTATAAATTGGATTTAACATTTTATATTTATTTTTGTGAATGCCCTATCATTTATCTCCTGGGTGACTCTCAGCAGTCTCCTGGAGATTTGTATCCAATTCCTGGAGACTCCAGGACAATCCTGGAGGGTTGGCAACCTTGTATATCCCTCCTTGAGTTGGTTTGAAGCCCAGCCCTTTAGAAATATAAAGATCTCTCTACCAGTCCAGATCAAGGAGTAACAGAAAAGGAAGCAACAGGGAGAGAATGACAACAAAAGCACCAGATTACAGAACTCTTAGATTCTCTTCCCTGCTCTGGGAGTAGACTATGGACTAAAGATTACAAACGGTCCAGTCAAGTGCCAGAATACTCTTGTTCAAGTTAGCTGTAGAGACTGAATTTGTCATCTCTGCCTGTGAGCTTTCACCATCTGACCTAAAGGATAATTGGGACTGTAGCAGTTTCAAACCTCTTTCTGTGTCACCTGTCCACTGGCAGAGGACTGAGGTAATGTGTGGCCACATAATTCAGGCCATTTCCTCTGAATAGCAATGTAGTAAACTTAATGAGACTTAAGTCCTAGTAGAGAGCTGATTTCTGTCCCCAGCTCTGCCTGCAGTGACCTTTTCCACCCTTTCATTTTCATTAGTTGTCAAATTGGTAAAAGTTAGTTGCTTCTCATAAGAAAGGTCTTTGAAGCCTTTGCTAATAAATGTTGTAAGTGTACAGAAGTATTAAGATCAGCTGGGATGGGGGTGTCAAACACAACTGCACTCCGGACATCAAGGAGCCTCCTAGGCTGGATCTGGACCTGGTGGTAAGCAGCAGCATCAGGATTAACACAGCTGTTACTTGTCCCAAATTCCCAGCCCCTGTGAGATCTGAGGGCTGGGTAAAATGGCGCAGCCCATGGGCCATATATTTAACACCCCTGAGCCATGATAAGATTAGAGTCCCTAGAACCATGGCTACAGGTGTGTATACCCATGTGTGTATAGGAGGCAGGTGAATGCTGTCTTTCTCCCTCTTTCCATAATTCATTCCAAACTCAGAAGCTGAACTTTTCTTCCCAAAGTCACCTCAGAGCTGATCTAATTTAGGCTGACAGAAAAAAGCCATCAAGGGTTTGCTCAGCTAGACAGATCTGCTGGAGTATCATACTTAAACTATGCTTGTGGCATAACTTTAACCATTAGCCTGCCCTGCAATGTCCCTCTGTTGGTGCTGTAAATTCAGAAAAGACCAACTTAGGGCTTGCTATGGCAGGCCAGGAGTTTGCCAACTGCTACTTTAAGTTCCTTAGTCTGCTGCTGGAGTGGCTGAATCTTCCTACCTGTGATTCAGAAAGCACTACCACAAATTAAAAAGGAGAATTAGTAGCACACTTAGCTTTATTGAAATTGAACAAATACCTTTTTTTTTAGTAAACCCTTTTACAGCAAGTGTAAAATTTTAATGTTTGTTGTTGTTTTGTTTTATCTTACAGGTTGTCTCTTCAGTGTAAGCAAAAATACCTTTTTCAACTTTAAAACATTTAGCAAGGATTTGAATCATGTAGCTCTGGCAGCAAAAGGTAACAGGTTATGAAAATCACAGTACAGTTTTAAAATTCTTAGGTTAGTTGATGATATTTAAAATGATAGCCACTTTGAGTAAAGATATAAAGTCGAGGTCTGTGTTTACCTATAGAGCTATCAATTGCAGCTAAAATGAGAGCGTTAAACTGAGCTACACCATATAGGAAATGAAATCTTAATAAGTAGTGTGGTACAGGGTAGCACAATAGGAAAAATACAGTTTGGCACCTCAAGTTGCATGTAAAAACATCAGAAATCAAATGAAATAAGTGCACTGTCTTTGAACAAAAAGAAAATGGGTAGTTTCACTGGTTTCTATGAGTGTTAGCTATCAAATAAACTACACAATACACAAGTTCAACCCCTAATTTACGTTTCTAGTAAAGCAAGATAATATTAAAATACACACCCACAGGATAATCAAGTATAAATTTTGTTTTCCCCTGTTAGTAGAAATAATTTACAACCCACAAAAGGACTTCTTGGTGAACCACTAACTACAGACACATCAATGGAATGTAGCTCAGTAGACTTGTTTCAAATAGAAAGGCAGCATTATCCTGAAAAAGTTTGGTCCTCTTATATCTCACTACACTGTAGCCACTACAGTCCCATAGTTGGTGTTTTAGGTTGGTTGGTTGGTTGATATTTTATTAACATACTAGCTTAGTGACAACGTTGGGTAAAATTTAGCCTTCTTTAAGAATGTCTGATCAATGCAGAATGGAAGAACAATACTGAGAGTACATAAGGAGATCCTTATTACATTGTCTTACAACATCTTGTTTTGTTCAGTCAAGCACATTTTTTATGATATTACTTTTTTTCCCCTTCCTCTTCTCTTCAGCATCATGGTAGGGAAGGGGGAGGGACAACCTCTCAGTCCAAATGACAGAAAGACATTTCACATTTATTTACAAAGCAAAACACTTTGGCTAAAAGGTCCCAGAAGCTCAAAGTTGCCTATTTCTTGTGAATGTCCTCATGCCGAATGATTTTGTATGTTATCCAGTAAAAGATGTTGAAAATGAGGAAGGCTAGTGGGAATGCAGCCCGCGATATTGTATCAATCCGTTTTGCACGATCAACAAATTTCTTTTTGATGGAATCTGAATCTTTTGGTGGTGCTGGAGGAGGGTTGGGAGGTGTAGCCTTGACTGCAGTGCCATCTTTAACTTGTAAACAGTGACCCATTCCATAGCCACCAAAATTGAATCGACTGTCACGAGTAACATCATCTTCCTGGAGAATATAGAAAAGAGAAGAAAGAGAAAAACCAATTAAGTAGATGGAATGCAATAAGTTAGTAGCATGGACAGGTGTAGCAGATCTCCTTAACAAATCAGCTGATGAGTTTTTGGTTCTATATTGGGCCCAGATCAAGATCAATAGGAGTTAGGTGCTTTAATATCTTGAGGAGGTAAGCCTGAATTAATTTAACACTACCTTGCAAAATTCTACTCATTCGCCACACCCTAAGGTGGATAATATTTTCTGAGCAGTGAGTAAATATCAAGGGCTTTATCATCAGGATAACTGGGCTCTGTACTGGTATATTTCCATGGCTATTTTACCAGGCTGATAGGACAATGTGTGAGCTATAAGTACTGGCAGTGCTCTGTGAACGATGAAAAAAATACTGAATAAGTGACTCTATTCTCCTTTATTCTCCTTGGGATGAAATGTTCTTAAACTTAATTTGGCTCTTCTCTCTGAGGCCAGAACCAGTCATGGTGAGTTGGAAGAGCACTGTGAACCTGCTTTGTTGTTTGTTTCACTGTCGACTTTTTTTTTGACTGACAGACATTACAGCATTGACTTTAAATGAATTCTGCTTAGGCTTGCAAGTTTAAAGTGCTCTCTCATGTCTTGAACTAACCTCCAGCTTTCTGATAGCAACACAGAGCCAGAGACTACAAAAACCAATGGGCTTGATCCTCAGCTGGTGTGAAGTTGCTTAACTCTGCTGCAGTCTAAGAAGCAGGGCCAATTTACACCTGCTGAGGATTTAACTCAGTCAGTCTAAATAATTGTTCCCTTAAAAAAACACCTGTTCAAAATTGCATTTATTTTTCTCTCTTTCAGTTCATATCTGCACCATGTGTATTATCAAGCTTTTTCCCCTTACCTTAGAGCTGATATATATTATGTTGTGCTTAAATAATAATGCCTCACAAGCCCATAGTAAAAGAAATGGTTCCTGAGAAGTAATATCAAGTGAGCATAAAAGGAGCACAGGCAATAACTAATGCCCTTTGAGACCCTGGTGTTCTACAGTGAAGACTATCATATGCTGTATCCATTATCAGGTGTATAATTGTACTAACACAAGGCTTGATAGCACAGTTATAGGGCTCTTACACTTTTTCATCTTAAATCCTCACCATTGTTAACAAAGTGAAACCTTTCCCTCTCTTTTTATAATTGTATTTATTTACGGTTTTCAGTCCTCCTGGGAAAAGCTATAAAAGTAACAATTCTGCTCCTCTCCAGATATTATGAATGAGTAAAGGGCTTAAAGATGAACCTGCTAAGACCTGAGTATGGCACACAATGTTTCTTTTTCATGACTCAATGACATTACTAATCCCTGCAACAATGCACAGAGCTGCTTTGCCTGTAGCAGTTTTTGTGTCTCCACCCTTAGCAGAAAAAATACCAACCAAGAAATAGAGGATTGATTAAAAGGCAACACATTTTCAACAGCTGCATTATCAATATTTGGAACTGTGTGTGTGTGTGTGAGAGACAGAGAGAGAATTTATAATGTACTATATTACTTGTGAGAAGGTATAGGGTGCAAACAACCATTCACATTACCTGACTCAGGTTTAGGCATTTTACTTTGAGCTGCCTAAATCTGAGTTGGATTCTGCCACATGCAGGAGTTCATGCAGGCAGCTGGAGGTAAGTCAGTAAGAGGGGGAAGCTGATGATACTGGGGAGAGGGGACTGGCAGGATGGGGTGGAGGTTGATGGGTCCATGGGGTGGGGAGGGGACAGGATGAAGCAGGTGGTTGGGTCTGTTGGGGGGGGCTCCCTGGTTTAGGGGTGTGTTGGTTGGGTAATAGAACGAGTCTAGTCAGGGTTGGGGGTTCTGGAGCGTGACAGGCCTTTTCTAGCGCCGAGGCTGCAATTGGAGACTTGTGCAGGTATTAGTTAGGCTGTGTTAACTCATTTTAAACTGTTAACTCATGCCAGTCTAAAGATAGTTCTAATAAGATGAGATCGGGCACTCCACTTAAACCCTGTGAATGCTTGCATGGTCAACCATTTCAATGACCCTAAGCTCAATTAGGGCAATCTAAATGTAATGCTTGTTTGTACCTATGGTCTACTGGGCTGATTACAGGCTGGGGAGACTCCAGATTTCTAGCAGTTCACACCACTGCTTTTTCATGTTATTGAGCAAAGCAGTTCAGTGTTCCAAGCCTGCTTTTGATCTCACTGTGACGATTCAGGACTAGGTCCATGGAAAGACCTACATGTACAATGCTGAAAATTGATATGTCTAACTTTAATGGCCCCAGCCACATGGAGGCATCAAAAGCCCTGATTTTAGACATATTGATACCTTCTACAAACCGTGAGGAGAGTGACATGAGCAGCAATAAGATTAGTAAAACCCTGCAGGTAAAGCAAGGATCCATCCAAGATAGTCAAAGATAACACCAAAGAGAAGGCTGTGTCTTGAATCCCACCTTCCTATGGGCTGGATGGATTTCCAGCCCATTTTCACAATCTTAGACCCTCTCTCAGAATTAGGTACCTCTACTAGCTGTGTCTCTCAAAATGCAGTTAGGGGAGACACTGTCTCCTACCCAGCTCCACATATAAAATTCAGTGGCTAGACCATTCATCCAGGACATAGGGGACCTGGTTTCAATTCCCTCCTGTGCCTGTGTATGGACGGGGCGGGGAGAGGTTGGGAGCCCCTCCACCTGTGTTTTGGGCCCTGATTCAAAAAGTGTACTTTGAGATCTCCTACAGAATTGGGCCCTGCAGGGGCAGAGAAACACCTTGTTTGTGGAAGCCAGCAGGGCTTAGGAATAGGCTCAATTCTCCTAGGTCCTTTAAAACAAATATTTTTTACTGGTAACTTTTCTAAAATATCAGTGAAATGAACATTTTTGTTTATTTCAGCCAGCAGCAACATGTTGTGATATACTGAGTTTTATTCCCCATTGTTTAGTAGATTATTCATCTCCAATAGCACAAGGAAGTGAGGAGGGGCTATTTGTATTTAATTCATTATTTCTGTTGATGATATCACAAAGAATGTTGCTTCTGGCTGTTATATGCTCTGAGTTAAATATAATCAATTATTATAAAATAGTAACAACTGAGAATCGGCACCAAATATGAAAAAAATCAATCCCTTCTGTGGGGAACACAGTAAAAAATCTCTCTCCTTTCTATTTTCCCACCCTTATCTCTTACCACACATAGCTGAGCCCTCCCCAAATGTCTTTTTCACAATGATGTGCTCTGAACATCAGCAGACTATTGATGAACTATTTCAGAACAACAGAGTGAGTGAATTCCAAATAAAAGGTACCTTCACAGAGAAAGCTCCTTCTCTTTTTTCATTATAGAGAGAGTTATAGCTCAAGCCTGTTAATGCTAGTTTGGTTTTCATGCATACTCACATCAGAAATGTGTTTAAATGGGTTTAATTAAGCTAGTGCAACAATTTTTCAGATACTCTTGTATTGACTTTGTTGCGTCTTTATGTACATTTTCAGTGGTTTGATTAAATCTATTTACCCTCAAACTCGTGCAAATTTGCGTGTGGACAAAGCCTTAAGTACTCATGCACCCAAAGAAGAGAGAATCGAGGAAGGGAAAGGAGATAATTCCTGGACTATGGTCCTGTTGAAAGACCTGCAATTTCTGCACATGGATGCGTGGCTCAAGCATTGGACTTTTAAGTCACCTCAAGACTCATCAGTGAGCCGAGGTGGTGATCATCATCAAATCGAGGGACTGCTCATGAATCGTCCTAAACTGTTTATAGTTTTATAGATTTTAAACAAACAACCAGCAACAGTAACAAACAACCTTCAGCTCCAGCTAGAAGCCAATAAACTAGAAACCATTGCAGAAAATGGAGATTTAATGTCATGTAACAATCAAAGTAGCTTCAACTTCAGAAAGCAAAAAGATTAGCTTAGTATAGTGCAGTGTCCTAGGCCAATCTAGATGTGCTCAAACATAATAAGGACCTCAAATGTCATCTAGTCCAATCCCCTATACAGATGCATACTCCTAGACAGATGCCTACTCAGCCACTTCTTGAAAACCTTCAGTGAAACAAACTCCATAATTTTCTTTTGCCCTAGTGTTCTTACAGATTTTCTCAGAGTTTTTTCTTCCCGAAGATTTGATCAACCTCTGCTTTGCTCCAGTTTAAATCCATTGCCACATGTCCTGTCTTCTGGCATGATAAAACAATATTTCCATGTTTTTTTGCAGCAGTTTTTCAGATATTTGAAAATTGTGTCAAGCTCCCCCCCCAACACTCAATAAGCTCCTTTTCTCTAAACCAAACCTATATTATTTCAATTGTTTCTGGCTTTTCCAATCCCTTTATCGTTCTTACTCAACTCTCTCTTCTTCAAATGCTGTGCCCCAAAATGGGCACTGCCCTTGTCACCAATGACATCATCTAATTGGACTCCTGGTTTCCTCTTGGGAGGAACTAAAAATGGGCACACACCATCAACCACTGGTTCATATGAACAGCAGCCAAGAAGCATTCAAAATCAGATAATGCAAGTGAACTGTACCAATCTCCCAGAAATACATTCTTCATAATCTACATCAATTTTATAAATAAGCCTTCCTTTCCTTTTTCATGTCTTTGTGTGACAAGGTATTTAGTAGAATTTGCAAGTTCATTGGAATCTGTCAGGGCTTATGTTTGTGTGGGGATCAGTAACTTGTGGGGTGTGATAAATGAAAAAGAAATACATGGTAAAATGGAACCCATATATGTAACCTATAACAGTTCATTTCCTGACTTCTATATATTTGAATATTTTTAGTTTTTCTTCTGAAAATCAAATGCAATATGTGTGTGTTATACAGATAAATTTAGACATTTTCAAGGTAATTTATTTCCTAATGTATTTACTCAAATAGAAGATGACCCTCATTATAAGAAGACAGCCCAGTAATTAGATGTATATATAGAAAATCTGTACATTTTCTATAAGTTTCCAGGTATAGAATCTAATCAT